CCTGGTAAGGGCTCACTTCTGGTCTTACACAGTAGATGGCTTCCTTAATATGCCCTCACATGGCAGGGAAAGAGATCTCTGGGATCTCCTCTGCTTTTTTAAATACAGCTCTATTGGATCAAAGGTCCATGGTTATAAATTCATTTAAACTTAATCACCTCTGAAAGGCCATAAACCCAATACAGTGATGTGGGGGATTTGGATTTCAACATCAGAATAGGAGAGGGATATGATTAAGTCCCTAGCAACCACTCTTCTTTCATCAAAGCCCAGATATAAAAAGTTACCCTAAGGGGACAACATGGTTACTAGGCCGCCACAAGAGGGCATCAGCCTGAGTGGAATTGATAATATACAGCTAATGAAATGATATGTCAATCACAGAAATGGACGGGCCATACAAAGCAGCCTATGTAAAAGTTCAGAAATGCTCAGTGCCTCAGAAGATGCCAAGGGCTTTGAGAATCCTGGCTTCACTGGCTCGGCAGGGTCTCAGGTTGAGATGGACCAAGACAGCCTTAGTGAAGTGCGAGTATGTCCAGTTCACACCTGCAGCTCAAGCCTTATCACGGGATGAAGAGTGTGCCAACCTCCATCTGGGACACCAACCCATTGTCTTGCAGTGATCCACATTCACCAACCTCCTGACAGTGAGATGAAGTCTTACTAGGTTGACTCTGCTGGAAGAAACCACCTAAGGAACATCCTTCAAGTGTTTCAGCCCTGAGGTAAATATTTCTCCCTCAAAATTAATGAAGTTGATGTTGATTGTGATTTGACAGCAATAAAGGATGATCCACTTACATCAAAAGGAATGTTATTGGTATATGGCCTTTCATCCTCATTGTGAAGTAGTTGTGATTGCAACCCATAGCTTAGTTTCATGATCTTTTGGTTATTCTGGGTCAATCTTCAGAGCCACATAGCCACTTGACAGGTCTGGGAGTGTGGTGACCTACTCAAAGGCAAAAACACCCTCACCCAGCACCAATTTGCCTTCTGTATCTACCTGTTGTAATCCCTTCCTCTACCTCAGCCTTCTACACAAAGCAGACTGAGATTACAGCTCAGTAGCAGCAGCTTGCCATGCAAATGAGGGCACTGTGGGTAAACTGACTGCTGAGCTGCACAAAGCACCCTCAAGAGCGAGATTTCACTTTGGCCTTGAAGCATGAGCAGGATTTCCATAAGAGAAGCTGAAGAGGGAACCAGAGGTGGAGACAGATGTCAGATGGATCATGAAGCCTTCATAGAATGTTAAAAGTAAAGAAAGAAACACAATCGAATATAATTCACAGGCTTAGGTGAGTAGTAGTGATGATACTGAGAAATGATAGCCTGCATTTGGAGTGCTTAGGGGAGATGGCAAATCCTGTCAAGACAAGTCGAGGCCAGGTTTCTGTGGGATATCCGATGTCTAGCACAAGATGAATCTGGGGCTCAGGAAGGAGTCCTGTAGAAGCCTCTTAAACCAGCATATACTTTAATCTAAGTCTTCTTCCTCCCACTCTGGTTTTGAACAGACTAATATGGGCTCCACCTGCCTTCCACGTTCTCACATCCCATCTTCATCTTCACTGCCAGGACTGCAGAGAGGTTATGGAATTCAGACATAACTGATATTCAGGGTCTGTCTCCACTGCCACAGGCTCCACCTGACACAAATGAGGTGAGACAAGTTCACCACCCAAATCAAGGGCATCCTTCAGACCACTGATGTTCCCCACCTCACCATCTCTGGAAAGCTACAAACAAAGTAAGCCACACTAAGAAAACCTACCAAACCTCCACTTGTCCTTGAACACCAGGTGGTCACACACCAGCCCCTTCTTCCCTTCTCATCTTGTCCCCCTTCCATGAAAAGTCACAGAAAGCTGTGGGCTATTTTTTCTTAAGGAAGAAACAGATGCACCAGATCACAAGTGCAGATAAACCAACTCCAGGGCTCTCAGATGACATGAATTCAAAAAGACTTCTCTCTTCACTTAAAGCAGCAAACATTAATTCAGATTTAAAATAGTAGCTGGAAAATCTACACTTGCCTAAACTTCTCTACAGCTTCCATTATCATTTTAAAAGAGATTTCATTTAGGGTCCAATTTTTAAATTTATTTAGTTAAATCATAAACTGAAAAGAATTCATAGTAAAAACACTAACAAAAGGCCTGGGGATGTAGCTCAGTTGTAGAGTACTTCCCTAGCATATGTGAAGCCCTAAATTTGATTCCAGCACCCAACATACATATAAACATGTACACACACACACACACACACACACACACACACACACTCTATTGACCTGAGAATACACATCGCTTGCACGGATTTTTATATTGAAAGAATATGGGTTGACCACAGGCTACCTGCCAGGCTCAGCCAAGGGACCTAGACCCTTGGAAAAGAAAGAGAATTTGCCAAACCTACCCCCCAAATCAATCTAGCCTAGTGGAGGTGAGAAGAAAGGGATTTCCTGTGTGCCATGTGATAAAAACTGATCTCTCAGGGAGCTGGACAGACTCTCCCAATACAGGCAAGATTGTGGGGGTGGGGGAGGGCGCAGGGTGGGCAGAACTCCCCACCTGACTGCCAGCTCTTTAGAATGGGATGAGATGTACTCCAGCCCCTTGATCCTTTGCACACAGGCCACCAGACTGAGAAATAGCACTCAAGTGTTGAGAACTTCAACCATGGGAAAAGAGTCAGCCTTAAATGCTGATCTTATATTTCTTGACAGGAAAAGAGAAGTAAAGGATATTTTCCCAAGAACTGGTTAAAATACAATGGTTAAAATACAATGAATACAATGGGTGAGTAAAAAGAAAATACTGAATGATCTAGAATATCCTGTTGTTGAAGGACTCTGCTTATTCTGGACTCTAGAAGCTTCTGAGCTTCTTTCTAGAAGACAAAATGGCCACCACAACCAACTACCCCTCCATCGTCAGTGACTATGGTAGCTGCTCAGCACAGCCCACTCTTTCAGAAAGCTCCCTAAGCCTCTGTTCCACAGACAGCAGAATTCTCATCATCTCCAGCTTTACCACTTTAGGTTTGTGTTGACCGTATTTCCTCACCTGGTACATGCACCACAGTATCTCCTATGTCAGCTTGGATCTTGCCTCAGATATAACGTGCCTTCAGCCCCCACACCTGCACCTCTCCACTTAACTGCACTGTCAAGAAACCAGGTTTAGAGAGTTTTCAGGCACAGACCTGATATTCATTTGCCTCTTGTACTCTGCTCAAAGACATACAAACTTGGCTCCTATTGATACTAGCCTGAGGGAGTGCCACTTTCTTATCAATCTCTACATTTTATAGCAATCTTTACACCTGGTTGATAGCAGCATTCAAATATACACATGTATATTTTTCTCATGAAACAAATTCGTGCTAAAAATTTAATAGCAGTAAGTGTAAAATATTCTTCAAATTTAGAAGTGTTAGTGTATTAAAGCCAAGAAATGCATTTGATTCTACTGGATAGATAAGTAAAATGATGATGAAGATTGATTTCAGTACATAATTCAACATGTTACTCTCTCCTGCTGAGGTAATTCTTGATACAACTAATATATATTTTGTTCAGTGAAAACACTGTTATGGCTTGTATCTACATGTCCCCCCAAAGACTCATGTGCTCATAGGTGGGGCTTTTCAGAGGTGGTGTGGGTCTAGGGTGTGTGACACTAGGATTAAGTTTGTGTGGAGGCCCATCCTGGGTGTGAGTGGCATAAACCAATAGATGTGTAGCCTGGAAGGAATAAAATGAAAGAGATGGAAGGCAGGCTGCTGCTGCTTCGCTGCTTCATGCCTACCCTGCCATGGATTGTTTCTCCTCCGTGATCCTCATCTGCCATGCCACCCTGTCTTGAAGCAGGCTGAGTATAGACTGAAACCTCTGCAAACTGTGAATTAAATAAACCTTTCCTCCTTTAACTTGTGATTGTTGGGTATTATGTCTCAGCAGTGAGAAAAGTAACTAAGACAAACACAGGCTTCAACTTTATAAATAGCAGTAAATACCATAAAATTGTAATGAAATTATTTCATAAATGTTAATGTTCAAGGAGAAAATATTTAAATCCTTTAGTGGGTAATGGCGTCCTGAAGAACATGTCCACAAGAAAAAGGTCACCACATACTCCAAATCTGCATAAGTCCATTCCCCAAATAAGTTGTATAATTCATAGGCTTTCATTCTAAAAGTAAAACCAAAATTTCATTTGAATAACCAATTTCACATGCAATTTTAACATTAACCTGGAATACAGAAACAAAAATGAACCCTGTACATCAACACTGGAAACTACTTCAGTGTTATTAATGAAGGAATTTTTTAAAAAGCTGTTTAAATTCAACATCCAAATACAATCATTATGCAAATGATCTCTTGGAAATACTAGATTTCCATTATAATTATATTTGGCTGAATATACTAAAAAAATTACTGAATCAACAAAAATTTGTGTACCTCTAATTATTTTTAGATAATGCAAGTGAAGTTACTCACACATAAGCACTTACATATGTGTGCATACACATGGATAAAATAAGAGGAGCTCAGCCTTCTGGCAGTCAAAGGAAGAAACACCTTCCTATATTTCTTAGGAATACTAGTATGCATGGTTTATCACTAAGTAAGTTTGGGCAAGGATTAGTTACAGAAAAACAAACAGATTGAAATAAAAACTTAAAAGAAAAGTTATGTTCTTAATTTCTTTGCCAGGAGAGAAAAACAAATTTTTATCCAGTAGGGCATTTAATACCTTAAAGTGTTCTAGAAAAGTTGTTTGTAATTGTTTTTACATACATAGAGGTCAACCCTTAAACTAATGGGAACACTGGTGGAAATCAATAGTACATTAATTTAAATTCTTGTAAATGATGCTCTCCGCATCCAAGTTAACCACAAACATAACTCCTAGCCAAATTTTCCAAGGGCATTGAGAGCACTTCAGAAAAATAACAAAAGAGAAAGTGGAAAGCCGTGGTCTCACCTCTGGCTCTTCTGGGGCATCGCCTCCCAGGGGAGGTCTGTGGAGATCCAGGAGGCCTTGGCTGGAGACCCAGCTCTCCTCAGTGGGAGAGGCATAGATCTCTTCTGAATCTGTCTCCACTGCATGCAGATTTCTTGTTTCTTCCTGGCTCCAATCCAGTTCTTCTTCAGATTGTTTCAAGGAGCTGCTGCTACTCTTGGGGACAATCCCTGCTGTGGACAGGCTGCTGGGCACTGAGGTATAGGAGGAATGGGGTCCCGAGTAAGGGTGGCCTTCTGGAACCAGGGCTTCAGCCTCCAGGAGGTCAGGAACCGACAGACTGAGGCCCCGGTCCAGGTGATGCCCTGCCCTTAAGTCTAGGGGTTTGTTTGCGTTCTTTTTCACCTTCTTCTTGCTCAAGTTGATTAACAATGGCCTGGTCCGCTGTTTTAATGACCCCCAGACAGATGGTTTATCCAGATCCATGGCCGCATGAAGAACCAAGAATTCACTCCTCAAAAGTGAGTACCTCTATGGAAAAATAAATGCAGTGACTCCTAAAACACAGAACATAAAGAGAGAGAACATGAACCTTCATGGTGCTATCAGGGCACAAGGAAGTAATAAACAATGTTTTTTAAAGTTCACATTTTTGTCTGTAACTTCAGCACTCTGGGAGGCAAAGGCATGAGAATCATAAGTTTGAGCCCAGCCTAGGCAACTTAGCAACTTAGGGAGACCTGTTTCAAAATAAAAAGTAGTTTTATTTATTTATTTTTGCTTAAATTCTTTTATTGGTACATTTTAGGTATACAATATGTTTACATTTATCATTGGGTGCTTGTACCTGTACATGATGAATCTTGGTTCTTATTTTTTCCCCATTACCTGTGCACCCTTCACCCCCTCCACCCTTCCGTGTTTACACAGACTTTGTTTCCATTTTTTTCTTTTCTCATAATTCTTCCTTTCCCTTCTTTCCTTTCCCCTTCCCCTCCCACTTCCCCTACCCCAGCCAGGAATTTAGCTCAGCAGTTTTGCTGCCTGCTGCACAAGCACAAGGACCCGAGTTCCATCCCCAGTATCAAAAAAATAAAAAGAAAAACTAAAAATAGTAATTTTAAAAGGGCTGAGGAAGTACCTCAGTGCAAAGACCTGGAATCAATCCGCAATACTAAACATAAACAAAACAAACAAAAATCTTGATCAAGATGCAAACATTTAGTTCATAACTCCATTAATACTGGGATATGAATCTTTAAAGAATGGAATTTTACAGATTTTTATCAGATCAGTTATAGAAAAGCTATAAAGCAATGAACGAGTGAATGATTGAAACCCAAAAGAATAGCTTCATAGAGAGACAATTTCACTCTCTCTCCTGGGAAAACAAAGCTAAGATTGTTTAATACAAGTGAAAACAGTGGCTTTTTATACCATGGCCAAGGGAAAGAGGGTACTGTTCTACTTCTTTAACTTAGGAGTCAGAGGTTTCTGTACCAGATCAGTTATTAAATATTTTAGATCCTGAGGATCAGATAATATCTGGCACAATTACTCAACTCTGCTGATGCAATGACATCAACGACGACATGAGCAATGAGAAAGCTATGTTCAAATAAAATTTTATTTACAAAACCAGGCAGCAGATTATACTTTGCCAATCCCTGCTTTATACACGTCACTTTCCTTTTCAGAGTCAAGTGTGTGTTGCAAAGGACAAACGCACCCATAAATGAACTTGTGTTTCACCTAGTATCTTTAAACAATATAACATAATATATTAACATAAGAACAACTAGAAAGCAAAATCTTTGTGAAAACGAGATTTCTGTCCTTACCCAGAACTGTCAAAGCTTCTATAATGGAGCCCCTAGAAAAGCAAGCTTCCCAGTGTGAATCTGAGATTGTGAGTGGGAGACAGTGTCCAATTTGGTGTGAGTGATGAGAAGGATTCACAAATAAATATGTAACTACAGAGTATGGTAAGTGATGCAGCTAAAGGAGAGCGATTTGAGATATAACAGGATGATCCCGTCAGACATTAAATCAGAACCAAATTTGGAGAAATAACCCTTATATTCTTAGTGTCAAATGCCTCATAATAATCCTTCCAATATGAAAAACTGTGGTCAGGGCATTATGACCTGACCCATACTTACTTTGTGACATTTGACAGAGGAAAAAGAGGCCAAGAGCCCAGACAAAGCAAATTTTCTCAAATCAAGGGCTCTGTTTTGTACCTCATTTCAGGGCAGGCTGTTTATTCACTGGAAAGAACAGCCCAGCAAATGCACAAATCAAGGTTCATATGTAATTTCTCTGTGGAAGGTGAGGACATTGAATCTCCACAGCATTTGCATCATGAGGATCAGGATAGGCACGCGAATCTTCCTGCACAGATGTGGTAGCTTCAGTGCATGATGCAGATTTAGACTTAGGCTCTGAGCCAGGCACTGTGGGTTGGAATTCAACTTTGCTTCCTTTTGCTTAGATGTTAGACCAGAGGCAGGGCACAAACTATGCCCTAGTTTTATCACCCACACAAAGGATTAGATTGTCTAATTTACAGGGAAAAAAACGCGATAAAGATGAAGCACAGTGTCTGATGAACTGCAATGTTTGGTCAAGGAAAGGTGATTTTTGTCATTACTGCTATTGCCCTACTTTCTAGTTTTGATATCTTAGTCAAGTTACTTGGGAGCCCTGTATCTCACCATTCCTCCTTCACAGCCAAGTTTAACAACAGTAAGTACGTTCAGGGCCTGTGGTGAGGTCTAAGTGAATTCATAGAACAGTGCTGTCTCAGGGGAGATGTTTAATTCAAAGTTCTTTTTAAAATTATTATTTCAATTATTCCATCTTGGATTATTCTGGATTTAAATGCTTAAGTATATTTTATGAACTTTTGATGCTTTTAAAGATGTTATTGTAAACAAGATTTGGATTTCACATTAGCAAGACACAAATATATTATTCAATTCAGTTTTATAGCTTGATTTGCAAATAGGCTCCAGGGAATTGTTTCAGTCCCAACTTGGAAATATTTTATAGCCACTTAGCAAATCACAGAGGCTAAAGGAGGAGCATTCTGCCCAAACACAGGAAGAGCCTATGAGAGAGGAAAAAAGTCAACCCCAAAAGTTTATCTACAGCATTCACAATGTGACAGGGACTTCAAGAAATCCAAGACACAGGTCACAGCCTGGAGAAATTTTCACAGAAATGAGAAATAAAACAATGCAAATGAAATATCCCAGCAAAAGAGTTTATGCAAACCCCACACTAATTTCAGCCAATGTGCTTTCTGATGAAAGAAATATTATTCTATTCAACCAAAAACTTTTGGAAGAGAAAAATGGAGGAACAATTTTGATTAACTGAAAGATCTGTTATAATGCAAATAATACTCTGAAAAATATAAAAAGTGAAGTCGATGGCCAATAGCTTCTGAACAGAAACCCTGTGATTAAAGTTTGCAGAAAGCACCCCTGCCCTGACCTGTCTGCATGCACAAAGGCAGCAGTGCGTGCATGACAAAAACAGTGCACTCACGGAAACATGGGCAAGGAGAAGCAGCATCTTGACCTCAGTGGGTGCAAAAACACCTAAAATGGGCTCGTATAATGGAACACAATGAAATACTGCCTGGCGTTTTAAAAGGGTCAGGTAGAACTTTATGCATTTCAATACAGGTATGAAAGTAAGAGATAAGAGACAGAAGTAGACAAACAGGCAGAAATCCCACAAGCTCAAAGTCCTGCCCCCATGAGATTTCTCCAGGAAGATCCCCTAGCACCACTTGAAGCAGACTCATGGACAGATTGTCTTTTTTTTTTTTTTTGTACCAGGGATCGAACTCAGGACCTTGTGCTGACAGCGGTACCACTGAGCTAAATCCCCCAGCCTGAGAGATTATCTTTTAAATTGCCTCTTCCTGTGCTCCAAATGAAAAGAACCACAGTGCCAATAATCTGCCTTCCACCAAACCTCCCTGCTGAATATTATGTGATTGAAAAGTTAAGAATCTAAGGCTAGAGAAATTTTCACTCCACTTTGAGAGAAAACTCCCTACTTTGAGGAGAAACTCAGGGAAATGAACATATCATAAAATGCAGCTTTGGAATCTCTGTGAGAGAAACTAAAATACATGACACACATGGAAAAACAGTTGGAACAAATGAAGTTGCATCTCTGAACAATGTATTTTGTGTGAAAAAAATATTCTTTTTCCATGCAGTTAGACTGTCCTGACCCGATAAACAATTTCTCTCCTTTCTTGAGGGTGGTGAGTAGGAAAAGGTACACTTAGTGGAAATGGACATATTGGAATATAAAACATTTTCAAGAGGAATTCCAGGAAGAAAGCAAAGATATAGCTAAGAACATTGGACTCTGGAGCTAACAGTTTCATCTTTGAAAATCGATGCATTAGCATTTTTTCTTTCTTCTTGAACTCATTCTATGAAAGTCAAAAATAGAATTTCTTTCTTTGGTGTAAAGTTATGTCATTTTCACACACAGAAAATTGTGTTATCACTACCATAGTCAGGACTCTTCATTAGAATCACACACTCTCAGGCCCCTATTTATTCTCTATGATTACAGTTTTGTGTTTTTGAGAATGTCTTCTACATGGAATCATGCCATAATAACTTTTAGAAACTGGCTTGTTTCACTGAGCATAACACCTTTGAGAGTTCAGGCAAGCTGCTGCATATGTCAGTATTTCAATTCTTTTTCATTGATGGGAGGAATATTCCATGGTGTGGATATGTCAGCATTGGTCTATTTCCCCTGGAAGGACATTTGGGTCATTTCCAATTTTGACCTCCTGCAAATAAAGCTGTCAAAAACATTCATGTGTAGGATTAATTATGGACATACAACTTATTTGTGATAAATATCTAGGAGTGTGATTGCTGGTTCACATAGTAAGTGAATGTTTAACTTTATATGAAACTATTTTCCAGAGTAGCAGTTTGCATTTTACCATTTTGCTTTTCTACCATCATGAAAATTCTTGTTCTACATCTCAGTTCTTGAAGCTGTTAGTACTTTTAATTTTAAACATTCTTTTTTAAAAATTAAGTTTATTGACCAGCCACCAGTGTACCAGTGTGGGCAGAGCGTCCCGGGCTGACTGGGGCCCCCTCCAACCAGCTCGCCACACCCACTTGTGACCAGGAGACAGTGAGGACCCCACCCCTCCCGGGCATGCACTGGCACGGGCAACAACAGCCCCTCCACACACCTCTGGCCTCTCGGCTGTGCAGCTACTTGGTTCCACACTACAGAGGCACAGGGGGACATAAAGGCCATTGTCCTGAGCTGCAGAAGTGAACAACAGAGAGAGGGCCCCTTTCTGGCTCCCTGATGAAAACTGAAGCCCATGAGAAAAGTGAAGAGAATCTCTGTGATAATACCAGACCACCGTACTTGGTAAGTTGGAGGGATCATGACCTCCCATCAGAACCTGGACTACCTTCAGGAGAAACGCAGCTGAGATCTGCAATTGAACCTTGCCGAGTTCAAACCTACAGGGAGCTCAACTTGA